ACATCCGCGTCAAAAACGTTCCTTGGCATTGTGCGTCGATTCAAAATATTTTCAGGTATCTTTCCCTAGTCACCACTAAAAAGTAGTCATTGATTGTCTTAATTAGGCTCAAAATGAATAATCTGACATGAGTAATTACCGATACTAACAACCTCATCCACAACTTTTAACGGAACTTCCTATTATGATTAATTTTTATTCGAGTCTATTGATCTTTTATGACAAATACAATAAACAATAATCATTTTCGACTTATTATTGAAAGGTTTTACAATTGAATTTTAAATTAACTTAATTTCCACTGTACATAGTCCACTTATAGACAATTAAGTACAATTATATTGTAGTTGATGAATAGAAAATTATACTTTAACATTTTTATGTTAAATTTCTATGCAAAATTTATCTTTTCAAAATTAAAAATTTTCAATTGGCAATATCATATTGATAATTTATCAAATACAAGCAAACAATTGAATTATATATCTGGTGGATTAAGATATGTTCTTGATATTGAAAAATTAAAAGTGATTTTTATTTCTTTTGTGAAATCAATGGTGACATGTTATAAATATATGAGGTGCTACTTATAATAAACAAATTTTTAATAGAATCATCAAATTTATTTTAAGAGTGACTGAAAAAAACTGAATTAATATATATCATTGAATTAAAGGTTAATGATTTTGATAATGAAAAACATTTTTTGTTTCATTATTTGCAGTCATAATGCACGACTAAAAAAGAGTTAAACAGTTGCACCTTCTTATATAAAAAATTGTATAAAAAAAGTTGTTTAAATCAAACCTTGCTATTATGTAGAAAATATAAAATTACTATTAATCTCTACACAAACTGTAATATTATCAAGAGATTTTTACTGTATAAAATTGTGTGATTTTCAAAAGTATATTTATATATTCTTTGTATAAATTCGATCTATTTAATTAAGCTTATAAGATATATTTGATGTTTCATACTTTTTAATTATATTAAATATAATAACATGTTAAGTTTAATCTTAATAATATTTTATTCACATACAGTTCGTTAATTTTATTAATACTTAATAATTTTTTTTATAGTTTTAATGTCATTAGAGTATAGTATTTTTTTTTTTATTTTTTAAGCTTCAACTTCTAAGGTTATTAGCTTTATATATATATGTATAGTATTATTATAATTAATATTAAGAACTCTTTGCCTTCAATATAAGCTCTGCTTAAAAAGGAATACAGACTAATGGTAAAAAATTATCATTTAGCATTTTAAAATTAATGAATGCTGTTTTGTTTGAAAATATTTATAATAAATAAATAAAATTTAACACAAATTTTATTTTTTCTAGATTCGATAGTGTAATGATTTATTATATCTGTACATTTATTGGTATTACGTACAACGAAAATCATCTTAAAGACGAAATGTCTTGTTAATGAGGACTGTTTATGAAACTAAAATTTTTGTCCCATTTTGTCGACCTATGGTAATCTATTGGTTAAATATTTTAATGGACAAATGTCCAAAGAGACAACTTTCTTGCCTTGACTACTCGATATCAATTCATTTATACCGGTGCATTCTAATTGGATGTAATTTTCAGAGCAGAAACTCACTATATCTACTCAATTATATGCATATAAAATAAATGATGTATTTTATACTATATATATTTAAACCATTACTTATGATATCGGGAAAATACTATAAAAAAAAAATGTAAAAATAAATATTGTTTAATAAACGTACGACTTACTGCCGAGCAAATAAGTGGACCGCTCTTCATAATAGCATTAGGTTTACCTGACATAATGTGTATCTAACATTTAATTTAGTGCTAACATTTAAATGTGAAATATTGTTGGAATTGTATAATATTTATGCAATTCACATGTTCATATTATGACTGAAACGCGTCGATTGATTGTATGTTAATTGTTTGACACTCGAGACCAGTGCAGTGAGTGGGCGGTGGTCTTTGCTCAGTGCGTTTTGATATAGAAAAATCGTGCTGAACTTCAGGGCGATTAAAATATTGTGACGTATTGCGTAACGCATATTTATTGTTGTTGTTACCCGAAACGACAACAATAGGTCGCGCCAACGGTCGTTTAACGTGTTGGTTTCTACATAGCAGCTCCCGAAAGTCTACCGCTAGTTTATGTGAACCTCCGCGGACGGCGCACGTTTAAATTATAATTATCACTTCTATCACCATTGACTTGAGTGTATTACAATAATAATAGATCACCGTATTGGTGAAAAAACGAAAGGCTCCGTGCATTATAGATAGAATTTGTGCTGCCACTCGCTGGTGACGCAAGACTGCTGTCTTGGATGTCATAATATTAAATAAAAAAAACCGGACTGCTTCCATCGACGAAAAATCAAACCATGAATAAAATATTAAATTAATCGATTGTGTCGATAAAAGCCATATGCCGTTTTACCAACAGTAACTTGGTAACAAAACAACAAAGTGTGAACTTGTGCAGAAAAATTCATTATTTTATCTGTAATGCGGAAACCGGTTCTTAACTAAATCAAAAGTTAAGTAGAAAAAATGACATCCGAGAGATTTTTCTGTAACCCTACCATTTTATTCATGGTCAATTAGATTTGAACGAATAAATAATTCAATTTTTCATTAGCTAATACGTTTTCACACCATATGCTATTAAAAAAAAATTCTCGTTACTGCATTGGTTGTTGTTATAACGTGTGTCGCGCTAAACTAGGTTAAGTGATCGGTATGTCGTTGATGATGTCGCGCGAGCTGAAAGTTTCTGATTTTAATTATTGTTATTATTCTCGGTCATCAATCAGACGTCAAGTATGCTTGGGCGTCATCGATTGTCAGCACTAAGACGAATAGATAGTGCCCGTGTAACGCTTGTTCGAGTGGCTCTCAGTTTCCTGTGGTGGCTATTGCGGCGATTCTTATAAGCAACGCTATTATTGTTATTGTCCGACGGTAACAATACACGTGCAAAATAGCTATTTTCCTTAAAGATTATAAACGCGCGTTATAAAAAATGTGCTGAACGATCAGCGACATAATAGTTATCATGCCAACAACAGCCATAACACATTAAGCAACTGCCATACGCATATCGTCGACAAGTGTGTATGCATGCGGGTTTCGAGTTGACAATCGCCTTTCTCCCAGAGAAAAAAATATATACAAAAAACAAAAATATAATTGTTACCATAGTTGCTCCCACGTGACTTAATTAAAAATCACTATGCTCCGAAATAATTATACCACGATATCACTTCCATTTCTGTTCGTAAATTGCAAAATCACCACCAAGTTCCCATTCTAATTTGACCTCCAGAACACAGAAAAAATAATAATTACAGCATGTTTGTTTCGCAAATTTTGTTATCAGAAAGTTTGCTGTCTGAAAGGTAAACTGTGGCGCGAACGAAAATAATTAAAGGGTCGTGGAACCTTATCTATGCCAAAATACTATACTTAACATCAAAATAGAGTGCGATTAAATGTACCACGTATTTGATAAATTAATTACTACTAACAGTTCAACTTCGTACGTTTTAACATGACTATGGTTAATTATACAAAAAAATTGATCTTTTTTATTCATTAAATATTAAAATCAATTCTTTAATTAAAAAAATTAAGTTACATTATAATACTAAAATGTGTGTATTTCCATCAAGAAAATATTGTTTATGTAGAATAATGATTAAGCAATTTAATTTCCAATTTGAATTTTTAACACGTCCGAAATTATTGGCAAATCGTCTCGTGCTACTGACCGCAGAGTTACTCGAGCTCAGCATATCAATATATATTTTTCTGTATTTATTATACAAAAAGTATGTACACCATGTTGCTGGAAGTACATCATTCAGGTTGATTGAACTGCCAGATTGCCAACGTGCTTTAAATTAAAATCACACGTAATTGTTTGAACAAGAATATGTACTTAATTCCTTATTTAGAGTTTATTAATATTTACTGAAATATGAACAATTCAAAATAGCAAAATCAATGTCTGCAATATGCATTTAAAATTAAATATAACTTAAAGTAAAAATAAAAATTAACAATTTAAAATATGAAAACTATAAAAAATTCATTAAACAAAAAAAAAAATATTTAGAAGTATAAATAATGGGAAAAATCAAATTCTCATCGATGAACTTTAGGATTTTTCGTATAAATTTTTCAATATACCTAAACACTTATCATGTTCAATATTAAGTCAATATTATTCTCATATAGTAACATAAATAAGATAATTAACATGAATATAGAAAGTAAATAAAGCAAGTATTTATTAACAATATAAATATATTTATATTTATAAATTGCATGATGAATGGTTTTTATTATTATTATTGTTAAAATAAAAACTTCTTTAGAGTACTTCATACTTAAATTCATTCATTTATTTCATTGCAAGGAACTTGGATTTTGGAATTCAATAGAAATTAGTAAATATAGTGTCTCAGAAAATTCTGTCAAGCATAACTTGTAGGAAATTTTACAATAGTTTAATAATCCTCTCGGTACTTAAAAGTTATGCAAGGTAATAAATTATATTTAATTTATTTTTTTCACTCATAAGAATCTAATAATTAATTTGCATGCCTCATAGTTAAAGTAAAGCTGATTGAGAAAGCAATCGCGAAAGACTGGCAATATACAATTAACCACTTTCTATTTAATTACAGAAACACATATTCAAAAATAATACCAATGGTTTTAATTTTCACTTTTTCAACATAATGCATGAATACTTATTAACATATCATTACACTATCAATACAACAATATGAATTTAGTAAAAAGTGGACTTATGTAATAAGTTTTTAATAGTCCCTTGAAAAAAATTGATTTTTAAGTCTCAGTGACTTTAACGCTCGTTTCTTATTCTATGAAGTAGAACGACACAACTAAATATTAATATACGAGTATAGTCTTTCAAAAATCTACTGATTTATTTTATTAATGTATTAGAAATATTTACCATTGTTTATTTTGGTTTGTTGTTTGTTAGAATCCAAATTTGAGTGCTGGCACTCGGTCACTAACATTCACGCACAAACCGGCCGGAACACATTAAAAACTACTTAGGCTTTAATTATTCTATTGATTATTTTTACAACCACAAATGGATAAATTATACGAAATTTGATCGAGTTATCCGATTGCTTCGCCTTCAGAGGTAAATTATCACTTAGGTCAGTCACGCGTTGTGTCCGGATCGAGACTGACGCCGGTTACCGTATTTGCCGGAGGTTTGATCTCAAAGTGTTTGTATCACAAAACGAGGACGCCGAACACACTTGTCCTTTCTATTTTCCCTCCCCTAACTAATGCCGTGGTGACCACTACCTATTAATCTCGCATATAGAACTCATAAATTAGAGCAGGGAGTATTATTATTATGTTTTGAAATTAACTATTCACAAATCACACACCTATCCTCTGAATGATATTGATATTTTATTATATAACTTAAATAATATAGTAATAGTAAAATATGTAATATGTTTTTTGTTTTATTCATATAATGNCGATATCGCCCACTTTGGGAAACACTGATATAATGTATGTTTACTTATTCGTAAAGATATAAAGAAAAAAGCTTTCCTTTTATAGTTATATTAAATTGTCTTATAATATTTTTATCATTACTATAGTGTGTTTACATAGTTATACTATAAATTAAAAATCATTCTGATTATAATTTTTCAAACATTTTTATTGATTTCTAAACTTCTAATAAAATATAGAAAAAAGCTGTACAAACCCAGTGTTTGAATAGAATGTATTTTTTGAATTTCATTCCTTTTTTAAGGAATGGTGAATTTTAAATTAATTTAGTTTTTGATGGAATGTAAATGTAATACATATCCAATGAAATTATAAAAAAAAAAAGTTGATAAAACTCAATGATGATCTTTTTTTGACCTTTATATAGTCAATAGAGAACAATTGAAACCAAAAAATTGATTTTTTACTTAACTCTTAAATATATTTTAAAAACAAAATAGCCACAGATATATGTGTAACATATTTATTATAAAAAAAATTATTATTATTTTTTTTTTATTTTGATAATTTGGTAATAAAATATTTATTATTATTGAACTATAAGCTCTGCTTAAAAAGNTAATAAAATATTTATTATTATTGAACTTGTTTTTAGAGTTATAAAATCAGGCGCGATGACTGAAATCGTTCCCTAAGCGAGTGGGAATATAGTTTAAATTTTATTAATAAAAATATTTTAAATGATGAATTTAATATTTACCACTAAAATAATGTTAAATATGAAATACATATAGTATCAAGTCTACAAAATAATAAAGGCATATTTCGTAATGAGAAAAACACAATGTGCACACATCAAAAACAAATATGGAAATATACTAATTGATGAAGAAGACATAGCTGCCAATGAACAGAGTATGTAGAATCTCTATATGAAATAATTATACTAAGGTATTTACCCAAATGCAAGAAAATGGAGACTGGTGGGGAAACATGACAACTAGAACTATTTTCAGATTGCAATTCGGTTATGCACTAATATTCATAAAAACAAAATAAAGCACAGGATCAAATAATATAAATACGGAGAACTGTTCCAAAAGACTTATAAAAGTACACTAGTATTATTACCAATAAAGCAGTGAAAAATCAATGTAGTAACTTCAGGATCTTAAATCTAATATTATATGCTTCTAAACTCCTAAAAATGATTATAAGTAAAAGAATTGGAAATAGAATTGAAGAATAGCTAGACTATGAGTAGTAGTACTACGCTTAAGAATAATTCTAGAAAAAGATATGGATAGACAAATAAAATCCTTTATGACTTTTGTAGATTTAGAAAAAACTTTCGACAATATTAATTGGAAAATACTATTTAACATAATGGATAATATTGACATAGACATTCCTAGATAGAAATAAATTACTATCATTAAAAAATGTAGATTTAAGAACAAGAAAACGGTTAATTAAAATGTATGTATGTCGTACAGCATTATTTTGACATAAAACATGGACGTTGAACAAAAAAAAATGGAACGGCTCAGGAAACTTTACAATGTGATGTTGACGAAAAATGGAGAAAATAAAATGGATGGAAATGAAGACAAACAATAAAATGTTAAACTTAGTCTGTTGGATACATATCGATCGAATGTTGTAACATGTTGCTGTTGTGTTACATCGAGTTGCTGTCGGTATTCTCTCTATATCTGCATTGTCGCCGCCATCTTAATGTTTCTTCTGCTATAAGTTCTATGGCGTTTGCGAGCCAGTAGTTTTGTATTCGTTTTACTGTAAAAGAAAGATATCTACTTTGCGATTGTCGTGCCCTGTGCGTTCAGTTTATTGCCGTTGGGTCTATATATTTTCTGAGATATATCACAATACTGATCATAGCATATTGTAAATGTTGGTCAGCTACTTACATTCGACTTCAATTGATCTTTTCAATATTCAACATTATCATCAGCCGTTTCATTTAGCCGATAAGTATAATGCTTGTTCATCTATCTTTCTAAGACTTACTAACTTGTATAATTTATTATTTGTTTACATTAGCGCCTTTGTGGCATTAGTAAAAAGTGTCCCTCCCTATCCACATTGGTGTATATAAGATTTTATATTTCTTGTATAATACATTTAATTGTTATAATTATATTTTGTAAAATTCATTCTACATTCAAACATACATTCCACTCACCTCATTCCTTATCCTCGACATAGCTAAAGACTTAAGATAAAATAAAACCACAAACGTTAACAAACCCACGTGAATACCACCGGGCGCAATGCGTTCAAACATAGTCAAAGAAAAAAGGCCTTGCTAAGTACTTTAAGATCAAGGTCATGGCATATGATTTACGCTAAGACACATTGAAGAACTCCATAGCATAATGGAATTAAACCACAATTTGCTAATTTTAACATTAGTTTATATTATCAAATCAATAAATCACGGTGGGATACCTTGTATATAACTTAAAACTGAATTTATTTTTTTTTAATAATGAATTTATTTTGAGAGTGACAGATAAAAAGTAATAATAGGTATATGGAATGTAGGAACATTAACTGTTAGAAGTAAACAATTATTAGAAGTATTGAAGAGGAGAAAAGTTACAATTGTTGTGTGCAGGGAACTAAGTGTAAAGTAAGAAAACAAAGGAAATAGGTGAGAGTTATAAAATAATATACTCAGGAAAGTATAGTACAAAGAATGGTGTAGGGATAATAATGGTTGAGGAAATGAAAAGTAAAGTAGTAGAAGTAGCTAGAAAAAGTGACAGGATTATAGTCGTGAAATTGATATTCGAGGAAAAAGTGCTGAATGTAATAAGTGCCTATGCACCACAAGTAGGATGTGGTGAAATAGACAAGGAAGTTTTTTGGAGAGAGATGGATGAGGTGATGCAAGGGGTACCTGGTAATGAGGTTGCGGTGATAGGTGGAGATATGAATGGATATGTAGGTAATGAGAGGAGAGGATATGAAAGAGTACATGGAGGGTATGGTTTTAGTGGGAAGAATGGGGCTGGAGAAAGAATTCTGGACTTCGCAGTATCGCATGATCTAGTTGTGGTTAATAATTATTTTAGAAAGAGGGAAGAACATTATATAACTTATAAGGGTAGGAGTAATAGATCACAGATTGATTATTTTATGTAGAATAGATAGAGTTTAATGCGAGTAAACGATTGTAAAATTATCTCAGGCGAAACTTATGGTAATGGATTACCATATCCATTGGTTGTAGTGTAGTGGAAAGAGAATATACAAAAACAAAAAGAACACAGGAGAAAAATCAAGTATTCGGTGATGGCAATTGAAAAAGGAAAATAATTTTTTAAGACAATAAAAGAGAGGGCGGTGTGAAATGTTGGAGTAAGTCATAAATGATGTGTAGAATAAATTGGATAGTTGTTTAAAGAGTAATTGTTGGTGAAAGTAGGAGTAGAATACCAGAAAAACAAGAAAACTTGTTGGTGGGTTTTTTTATGAAAAACCATTTACATTCAGAAAATCATAGACAGTATGAAAAATCAGTTTAAAGTATGACAGAAAAGCAAAAGGAGAGAAGATTGAATGCAGTATAAACACTTGTGCAAAGAATCCAAGTTCACAGTAAGTAAGGCGAAGTTTAAGAGATACGATAGACTAGGAACAAAAAACTAGGGAGGCGGATCTCGAGTAGTTGTAGGAGTATAAATCCCAAGTAGTATATTAGAAAGAAAACTACCAAAAAAATGGAAGAATAGTATTATAATGTTGATTATGAAATGCATAGGAGACGTAAAAGAGTGTGAAAATTATAAAGACATAAAGTTTATGAGTCACAATATTAAGATGTAAGATAAGAAAATAATAAATAAGACATCGGTATCTAAAAACCAGTTTGTATTTAAGCCTGGTAAGTCAACAATGGAGTCATTACTTTGTGTGAATTTATAGAAATGTATAGAGGAAAAAAGTATAAGCTGTCTATGGTATGCTTAAATTTTATGTAAACCTTGTTATAAACGAAAAAAAATGGAAAATTATAAGAGTAGAAAGGATAATGAGAGAGATATGAATTTAGTTTTGGATATCTTGAGGTCGAAGTATATTGAAGTTATCGAATAATAAAATATCCAACCTCACATTCTTTTATTCTTGTTAATTACGTGTATTTTTAGGGAGTAAAACATGAAAATAAATATTCGCACTTACCTAGGTTAAGTATTTACAAACATTTATATGATCTTACGTTTATTTCGATTAATCAGATTTGTATGTATATTAGATCTTAATCATCAATATGCGCTTTTGATACTTCGACTATATATGTTAAAAGCTTTACAATTTTTACACTGTGATTCCTCTTTCTTTGAATTTTTTGGGTATTCTACTTGAATTTTGTAATGACACAATTATCTACCTGAAAAATGTATTTATTATTAGTTTGTGGTACTTACTCTACAAAAAACAATGGTACCCTAATGTGCATCCAATAGATATTTTTGTTATTTTGTTATTAAACTCAAAAATTTGAAACTTTAAATGTTTATATCTATTAAACTAATTAAGTTATATTAAAAATTTAAATGCCATTTACTATTTTAAAAAATCAAACATTTTATTAAATTCAAAATATGTGTTCCCATTTAAAAAAGTAAAGTTGGTGCCATTTTAAGGCATAAGGGTTAAACTTAAAAAGTATTACATAGTTAATAATTCAAGAATAATGTGTAACGAAAGATAACTAAGAGAA